TCAGTAAATAGAAAATATGAGAGTAGATATAATAAGTTTAAACGAGGTTTGAAAATAAACGATACCGAAATGCAATTAGTAAATGGCGCTCAGATATCTTCGCCGATATGGCTCGCGTATAATATTACAAATTACCGGCATTACTCGCATTGTACGTGCTGTTTATTTACTTTCACGACCCGAGATCTCCTCGCAGCCTTTAACTATGGGAACGTCTTCATCTGCTCGTTCAGAACTTCAAACAAGCTGCGAAGCACACTTTAATTTATATTATTTGATAACCTGTGAGAGGAAAAGCTGCTTAAAACAAAATCGCCAAATGCAAATCAATTTGTTTTAATCGAAATTTATGAGTTTTTAAGACGCGCTCTTCCTCCTCGCGTGCTCGGCGGCCATTTCGTTCACGTGGCTGATTCTGCGCGCGCACAAAATCTCGGCGTAAATAAATCGAAGCGACGCGGCCAACTAAAACATCTCGTAAATTATGTAATTAAAGCGTTTTCGAACATCAATTTACATCTATTTACGTACGCGCATCGGGTTACCAAAGCGCAACCATCTCGTTGCGCAAAGTGCTCACGACCACGACGACGAAGAAGAAGCATGGCGACGAGAGGACTGGTATATTTTATACCTTTATTATACACGTTGGCAAACTTTCCGCCAATGCTAATGGCTTCAAGAGTTTGATTAGCTGATTAGTTTTTCAATTTCTGCTTCAAAAGTGATAAAATTTTAAATATAATACTTTATCCACGCTGAAGGTTGATAATGTATATTATTATTCACTCAATCAGCAAATAATCATGGTTTTATTTCCTGAATTAAATTATTAGTTCATTCACATGCGTGTCGAGCGAGTCATTTTCATAATTCGCTTAATTACAAACACATATAACGCTCGAGGTGCGAAAAGAAGACACGCATACTCACAATCATTTAATTGCTTCATTTTAGCACGAACTCAACATCAACACATCCAGTCAAACAACGTTCGACTTCAAGTTCATTTAGTTTGCGCACGTTTTGTTCAAGTTTCAAGCTTTAAACTGTAAAAAACGAAGAAAGGTGTAAATAAAAAAAGCAAACGGTTTCTTTAATTAGCGTTTTAGGCATTAAAAAAAGGCAGCGTCAAACAGAAAAATTCCGAATTGTTTTAAGAAGTACGGCGAGAAGGAGGAAAAGACGAAAATTAAAAATAAAATTAACGCAAAGTGCGTTAATTGCTTAATCTCGGCGTTTTTTTCAAGTGTGTGTAATTCTTGACTTTGCTTTGCTTTACTTTTTTTTCCGGCATGCCTTGCTTTGTTTGCGTGCGTAAACGCTTGTAAATTACACTTAATGAATGTTAAAATGTAATATTTTTAGACAGAGCATTAAAAGATACAAAGAAATAACATTTTTAAAAAATTACAGAAAAGTGCTGCCATCTACCGACTACAATAATCAATTTATTTAAATAATTCTGATAATATAATGTTGAAATTATTATTCAAATAGATTTTATGTTTAATGTTTCAAAATTCAACAAAAAAACATCAGGCTAAACGCCAATTTTGTTTTATAACTTGTAGCACTAATAAATTATCATGTAAGCGTTAATTAAAGCACAATTTTTTTGTCGGACGCGCTGCGCACAGTTTGTTTTTCGTTACGTGAGTGCATTTTGCATAATGAATAACCTGAACCAATTTCTTTTTCATGAGGTAGAATATTTTAGTGTCGTGCACACCGTGCACCCACGACGCTTGCGCACGCTGAACGTTTCATTTCGGTTTTCATTAGCGGCATACCTGGCCGCATAAAATTTTTTTGTTGTAAACTTTTTCATTGTTGTTTTGTTTCTCCCCGAGCCGACTGGCGTTTCGTTTACTCATTAACAAATTCGAAGAGAACGCACGCGGGCATAATAAGTAACATGCATACGTAATGAGCACACACGGCAGGTTACTCAGTAAAGCAGGGGAGTGAAAAAGTTGAGAAACGCACTTAGACACGGAATTACGTTGAGCAAACTCCGACTCCGACTTCACCACAGCACACATAGTAAAAGTGATTTAACATAAACTTAAATGTAGCTTAAGTCAATTTATAAGCACCTCCCCCACAGTGTGTTTATGTGTGTATTGAGCTTATCAGTCGACAATCGCCAACCTAACGCATTGTATTCACGTAATAAATGGCCGCCATGTTAATTTCACTCGAGGAAATGCAAAACGAAACAAAAATGCGCACTTCACACGCGCACAATGGACGCCGACGTCAAATAAAACAAAAGAAGCACGGAAAACAGCTGGAAAGTGCGCTAATTCAAGTTTAATTCCTAGTTTCTATCTGATTATAGTGATTATAGGCAACCAAACACACCGCGAGCGATCAATTGAGGTTATATTTTCGAACAATGCCAAAATTAGCGTTTTTATTGTCTTGGACATCTTTGTTTGCGCCTCGAATGCGTCTTAATAAATATTCCGCGTGCGTTTCGGGCCCCGGAGGAAGATATTCGAATATGTCATTAGTGATTCTTTTTTCCGCGCAAGCATGCCAACGCAGAAACGCGACTCGAAACAATTAAGCCATAAATTAATATTTTTTGTCTTCCTCACTTGAATCACGTCCAAACGAGACTACGAATATTTTTATACAGTGTGTTTTAAATAACATCGTCCTTAAGAACAGCATTCGGTTATTATTTATCTTGGACAAGCTGTACCTATATGAATAGTGTTTTTTGGCTCTCGCCTTATGTCTTATTACACGCCGGATAGCTGGATGTGATTGTGAACACTGCATATGAATATGAATATACGAATGCGCGATAAATTCGCGTCCGTCGTCTTCTTTGGTTTTTGCCGGGTCTGGAGATGACCGCGAGGTTAATGCCGTCCGTGGCGAAACACAATAAATCGTGTTATAAATTATGGTAATAAACGTCGCCGCGGCGGCGTTTTGTTGCAGCGCGCAATTTGCGATTTGCGCGCGCATGCGTGTTTTAATGCGTATAATGCGCGCCGCGATAAATGCGTTATTACGCCCGAAAATGAGCGATCAACGGGCTGAAATTTGCATGCTGCCATGCTAAATCAGTAGGAAATTATCATTTTTAGCGCTTGACTGCTTCGGTAATCTCTTGATAGCTTGAAGCCAGTTATAACTTTAACACACTTAACATTGTCAGCAGGAAAAATAGTTTTTTAGAATATTTTTGGAAAATTACTGCGTTATTTTTGAATTTTATTATGTAGGTAAGTAACCACATTATTAAACTTTCATATTTCAACCACATTCAAATTAAAATTTATATAATTTATAAGATATTTTAGTTTAAAGTTTAAAATTTTGTTAAATGTAAAATTTATTGTTTTTATTAGTCTTTTATCTTTAATGCTTAAAAATATTTTTGTATGGGTAAAGTCAAACCAAATTTTTTATACAATTATTTTTCAGTTTGTTTTAATTAAAATATGTTACCTATTTAATTTAGAAGATATTTTAGTTCAAAGTTAAACTTTTTGTAAAACGTTAATATTTAACGATATTTATTATTATTTATTTAATGATTTAACATATTTTTACAGTCGAACCAAAACCGAAATTTTTAACCAAATATTTTTCAGTTTGTTTTAATTAAAATTCGTTTTTATGTTTGACTTGACGCATTTGCATTCGCATTGAAATTCAGACATTTACCATTTGCCAATTTGCTCGCAAACCTCTACATTTATTCCCATGCATTCATGCATTTTGAAATCTGTGCGTTTCGCAATTAATTTGTTGTTGTTGGGCGAAATGCGCCGAATTTCGCGTTGCATTTTGAAGTAGATTCAGTTGCTAATAATCGCAGGCGGAAGCCGCTTCGATTTGGGTAAATATTTTTTAATAATGTCATTAGTACGCGACTATGTGCGTTTCGCGTTTGCCGAACGCGCAAATTGGGTGCGCCGCAACGCGAACGCGCACGTTTAAAAAGTAATTAATCGCGATTGTGCGTAAAATCAATTAACTTCTGTAATTCAACGCTTTACAGATTGTAATTTTCCGAATGACTTGAAAGGCTATTCGATCTAATGACCTACTTTTATGTACACCCGCACATAAAATTGGTTTTAAGCTCACAAAAATATAGTTTCCTCATTTGAAAACGGAAAAATGCAAAAATTGTAAAAGGGTAATAATCAAAAACCTAACCTTACATCATATTTTCTAACCTAACCTATGCTACCCAATGTAATTTAATTCTTGGAAATATTCTGCGTTAATTTAAAAGTTTGGTAGATTCTCGATTCTAGTGCGATGTTCATGTTAAATAATTTAGTACCTCCACTGCTCTACAGCTTATAATTTCCCAACTTTCATATAAGCGCTCTAATAGCAACTATTAAACACTCGCGCTATGTAATTACCTAATTAGTAATGATACCTACACTCATTTACGTCAAAATTACTTTTCATAAAGCTGTTTTCCTAAAAATCTATATATCAACTTGCTTTTGCCCGCGACTTCGTCCCGGTAGTGTTAAATAAAAATGTAATTCGTTTTTACCCTTTTGTTCTTGACATAGTATGTGTCAATTCTATCAATAAGATTCGCAATTTTATTTTAAAGAAATTAATTATAGAAAGAATTGCTAATAATGCACTTCTGTGCGCCATCTCGGATTCAACTATTTAACTATAATTATGATTGAATCTCGATGCCAACTTTTATCATATAAAAAAGGGCTGTCTTTTGGCTTTTTCCGGCAATTATTCGAATTTTTCTCGCCGTAAAAACCATCCTTGGACTTTAACGAACATTTTAAAACAAGAATTGACCAAATTGGACTAAGCGTTGTTGAGTTATGCGCTTACCAACAGATTTTGCGATTCATTTATATAGGTATTATAGATAGATTTTGAATTTCAAATATGACTCCCATAAGAAAATTTTACTCCACCAACCGTAATATCATCACGGACAAAATTAAATTTGCATAAAAATTGATACCGCTATCACTCACCTCAAATCACTTAGTGTCTTAACCACCAATCTGAAACAAAACACACGTACAAATTATTTATCATTACAAATAGGAGACAAAGAAAATCAATATGTCCCAAAGGCAATAATACCTTTGTCATACACAAAGTGACATATTATACATGCATATTATATTCCGCGGTAAAGATGTCAGTAATTTGTTCGATTAGTTAATGTTTCACAAGAATATTTTCTGTAATATTAATAACAAAAAAGTGAAGGGTATGGTTATGGCCATTGCAAATGCACCACGACGAATTTTCCTAAATTACAAAATTTTACACGGCATCTCAGAAGCCGAACTGTTAAAGCTTTTAAATATTAAACACACGGTAAAATAAGTTGCAATAGTAATAAGAATTTAACACAGCCAATTACAAGAAAGATGCGACAAACAACGGCTTTAAACATAATATTCCTAATCATTCTTTCACAGACGTATTCATGCATAAAACACGCATTTTTGGTAATGAGCTAAGAAAATTCCACTTGCTTGATTGCAAATAGCAGTTGCAGTCGTATTACTTTTTAATAAGTTAGTGTTTTGCACAATGTGTGAACTTAGGTGGAAATTCCGTTATCTTAATTAAAGAATCTACAAAAAATTACAAAAAAAAATTGGAATGCACAAGAATAAAAATATTTAATTATTCTTGAATTTACCATATGCTGAGTCGTAAACATCAAGCTAGACATAATTGTAAACATATATTAGTTCGCAGATAATAAAAAATTAAATGTAAGAACAATAACATATTTTATTGCAACAGCCAACCATAAAACTTTGTATTTTCTATCGGCTTTAATTTTAAGTTTGAGTTTTTAAATCATTGATTTTATATTTTTATCAATTTGCAATACAAAATTTAGTTTTTGGATGTTTTGCTAAATCGATAACTTCAACTGTTGGAAAAAATTGAATTACAGCAAAATATAGAAATAAATAAATATGAAATCCAAAAATAAACATTGTTTTACAACACTGAGCAAATTGGTTCCACATACCTATATGTAAATATAATTTTAACTTTTCAACAAACTCATTCTTTATTTATCGAAAACTGTCTGCTTTTGTTATAAAACGTTGCTCTTATTTATATATCGTAATAAATTTTATTCTTATCCATTTGCCTATATTACCATCCCCATTCGGGTGCGTACACGAATGGCGCAAAGTTTTTATTCGTTTTTCTTATAATAATAGCCCGTAATGGCGGCGTGCTCACGAGCGCGTTTAGGTAAAGGGGGCGCGGGCGTTGTAAATATTAATGAAATTTATTATCGCCGCAGCGTTGTAAACATGAAAATACGACTGCATTAAACACACTTATACCATATATTTATACTTATACCTGAAAAATTCACCTGTACTTTATCCGAACAAATAAAGCTGTAAAAAGCAGTAAAACAAAAATAGAATCAATTTAAAAAACCATTAACTACTAATTGCCAATGTAAGTTTATTTTACAATTGCATAGATTTTAATATAAAAACATCGCACAAAGGTAGAATAGTTTCGAATAGAATTATTTACGAACGAGATACGCAATTTGAATAATGTCGCTGGTAAATTGTGTTGTGAAAACTATTTGCGAACGACTGCATACTGATTGTTCTCCGCGCGATGGACATTACTGTCGCGCAGTCATAAAGTTTTAATTAACAAGGCGCATAAAACGTCCGAGAATCCGAACACATGTAGAACGTTTCCCACATCTTGTCCACTTTCATCTGAGGATACTGAATGTAAGTAATTTACGACTAGACCGGATTATAAATTAATTACAGTCGCTGCAGCAACCTAATATAGATTTAAAGATTTACAAGTACATAACTAGTTATCTTTTGCAATTTTAATAAAAAGTGACATATTTTAATAATTTTCATATTAAAAAAATAATAATTGCTAATAATGCATTTTTGCGTTATCTAAGTTTAAATCGTATACAATTTTATGGTTTGCTGTTGCAATAAAATATGTTATTGTTTATAAATTTATTTTTTATTATCTGTGAAATAATATGTGTTTACAATTATTTCTAGCTTGATGTTTATGACTCAGAATATGGAAAATTCAAAAATCTCTAATACAGAAATGAATCGGAAAATCTGTTGGTAAGCGCATAACTCAACAACGCTTTGGCCAATTTGGTTAATTCTTGTTTTTAAATGTTTGTTAAAGTGCAAGGATGGTTTTTACGGCGAGAAAAATTTGCATAATTGCCGGGAAAACCCTAAAGACAGCCTATTTCTATAGGATAAAAGTTGGCATTGAGATTCAATCATAGTTATAGTTAAATAGTTGAATCCGAGATGGTGCGCTGAAGTGCATTATTAGCAATTCTTTATATAATTAATTTCTTTAAAATAAAATTGCGAATCTTATTGATAAAATTGACACATACTGTGTCTAGAACCAGAGAGTAAAAACAAATTACATTTTTATCAAATACTACAGGGACGAAGACGCGAGCAAAAGCTAATATTCAAATAACTTTATTATTTGACATTCCAAAAAAATTATAATAAAATTTTTTGTAGATGGTTTTATTAATATAACTACGATTGAAGTTTCGTATCAACTTTCAATCTTAATTTTGCACGCTTTAAGAATTAATTTTGCTATCAAACTATACATTATTTTCCGCTAAACTATTCTGAAAATCACTTAAAAATTATATCAAAATGGGTTCAGTAGTTTTAGAAACAATAGAGAACATACATACATAATTAAAAATAACAATATCCCAACATATGTACCAATCCTTTGATGTGATTTTTTGTTGTTGAACATTTAGCTGTAATTTGAGCAAAGATTAAATTCAGTCACAACTCGAGTGCACTTGATAACATAATTGGATAATTGCGGATTGCTGTGTTTGTAAATGTTGTTATTCTGATCCTCCCATCTCGTCGTTACCGCCGCTCGTGCTCAACGCGAACTCTTAACTGAAACCTTTTGTAACTCGACTCTTCAGCCTAGCGTCGAGTCTCTCTATCTATCCAGTCACTAGATAGACTCTTCAGCAGCTACCAGTTTCCTCAGCGTCTACGATCTGCGTGTGTAGCATGTTCGGAAAGTTGAACACAACACACCACATCCACCAGCTACCGATTTCACTCGTGTCGCACACACCACTTATTATCATCTTATCAACATGGAATTAGCTGAGTGCGCGACTGTCTTCGATAACAAGACAGACCAGACGTGTGTGAGACATTGTTGAACAAATCATTTTCACATACGGACTTTGGTTACGATGAGGCGTAAAATTGAATTAATTTGCCATCGAGTACGCTGAAATAATTCGAATTAATTAGTGAATTATTTATGTAATGCGGCAGCGACGCCATTTGCTCCGCATCGTGTGTGTTACGTTAATATTTAATTAATGTGCATTTTGAGCATCCGCGAATACACGATTTCCACTATTCCATCCGATCGCGATTAATTTTGATTGTGCGTTTTGATCTAATTTCAAATCGAACTTATAATTGAATCATTTATCAATAATTTATCCACGAATTTAATATCCCATCGCTCCGACGCCATATTAATAGATTTAAATTAGTTTTACCATCGTTATTTATTCATCTTATTTTAACGCTTAAATTCTGCATCGTATGGAAGATGATAATGAATATAAATGGTAATTGTCTTTGCGATTCAGACAACTCGGAGCTTTTCTTGGGGCATTGGAGCTTTTGCGTGTCGCGCGGCCGGAAAGTAATCTATCTTAATGCTCGATTACGAGCCAAGCGTGCAGGCCGTACGTGGATAAAGAAGAAACGAGTAAAAAACGCCACACAAACGGCCGTCAGCGATGAGCACGAGCAGCGAGAGCAGGTGACCTGCGTCCGAAAGATTCATGCTCATTTGCATCCGATAGCTTCGAATGATATTAATGGATGCCGAACGCACATAAACCGCAACTAACGCCATCTTTGAGGCAATTTATAAGTAAAAACGAAATAAAACTTAAATTACACAATTATTTCTCCGCTGTGCGATGAAGTGATGAAAACATAAAACAAAACACACTAAGATACGAAGATGGCATAAACAGGTGTGCGTTTTTTGCTCGCGCAAGTCGCGAGTAGGTGAGAAGGGTTGATTTATTCACACCTTATAAACGCATCGCGCAACACCCGCGGCTATAAAACGCCATATACACATCGGAGGGAGGACGCATAAAAGGAATATAAAACCGAAATAGAATTTTTAATGTCCCTGCACGGCCGCGGTCTTTTATTTTAAAATACGACTAACAACACTTCACGAAAGCACGAAAAAAAAGAATCAAAACTCATTAAGAAATGGTCTCGCCATCAAAACAGATACACCTGTAGGAAATTTATAACTCTGAATATTTAACACACAGAGAAAAAAAAAATGAAACGACAATTCCAAATGAGCTTCAGAATGTTGTGGACTTGTTGCGCGTTCGCCAATAATTTAAAAGTTTGACGTCTCTTTGTGCGATTGTCGAGCCGTGGGGGGACATAACTAAGCACACTTTTTGCATAAATGCATATTCAGATGGCGCGGCAGACGCACGCTCCCAAAAAGACTTAGAGACGTAGCTCTCTCTATTCACATACGTATGTAACTTGCGCATGTGCACTGTGCTTGTCGTACATTTAACTCGTACATATTTTGTATTCAAACGTCGCTGTATAGTTCCCACAATTTTCCCGCACCGAGCGCTTTGGAACGTGGTGTCCCTGTTGGAAAAGATCTAACGTGCATGCCGATATGACGCCGTGGCGTAGTATTTATACTTTTATGCGCGCTCACATAAAGTCGACTCGGCGTACCTCAAGCCGGCCGGGGAATAATCATAGTTGCGCGAGGTGAGGTGAAATTGAAGACGGGCAGACGGCGAAGAGTGGACGGTGGAGTATCCGATGAGAATGGACGTCGAGCGCGGAGTACATCCCATGCATGCGCCTGTGGGTATTTAAAAATTATAGACCCAACGTACACCGGTCTAGGGAAACATTTAAAA